TTCTCCTGTATCAGCATTAAATCCCCTACCAATTCTAACAACAGCTCATATGAATCAGCAAGTGTTTTCCCCATGAGCTCGGAATCTGGAGATACTACTAATTCATTTGCGTCATCGATACCGAGTTTTTTCTGAATAGTTACTATATCCTTCTTCTTATATAAAAGCATTCCATAAAACTGAGAAAGCGTTTCGCTATTATTTGTCATGATTGCTATAATAAAGTAATATATTTAATGTGAAAAATTTTAAGTCTAGAATACAGATCATTATCACAGAGCAGTGATCACTAGCTTGGAAGAATTTGCTAATCCATGCACAGCATCTGTCTCTTTATTTTTTTCTTCAAGATTTTCTGGCTTCGAATTTATGAGAAGGCGGGTAGAATATTATAAAAATAAAATAGATACTCGCATAACTAATTCATCTATTCTAATGGACAAGGTAAAAAAGGGTGGTTAAGCTGTGGATCAGTTGCGATATTACACCAACTGACAACTACGGAAATAGTGGTAGATTTGCTTAATGATGCCGAAAATAAAGGTCCTGAAATGCGTGGACAAATAATCATTTTCTAAAAGATATCCCCAAAGTTACGTAAATTTTCTTGGCAAAATTTCATTAATCTCAGATAAAGGAAATCACATGATTTTTTTATTTTGAATTCTTATATACAGTGTATTAGTTATAGACCATGTTAACTGAGCAAGAATTATTAAAGCAACGCAATAATGAGCTTGAGGCTGAGAATGTTAAGACTAAGGCTGAGAAAGCTGATATTGAGGATATGTATATTGAGCTTCTAGAAGCGATTAGGGAGGAATATACCAAGCGAGATGCTGAAAAAGCTGAGTTTAAGGCCAGAATCGAGGAGCTAGAAAAAAATAGGACAGATACTGTTGCCAAGAACGCTGAACTTGGAGCAAGAGTTGTGAAATTGGAACAAGATATAGATGAACTTAAAAAAGAATTAGGATCAAAGAAAAATCGTAAATTTCAGGAGAAATGTATTCTAATTACTCAAGTATTGCTTGGAGAGGAACCCATAGTTGAATATCGACCATCTTTTATGAGGGGATTAGAACTTGATGCTTTCTTCCGATATCATTGAATGGCATTGGAAGTGCAAGGGGCTCAGCATCGGCTTCATAGCACTAGCTGGTATAAGAATGTCAAAAAACTTGAAGACATTGTTAATTGTGATCGGCAAAAACGATGTATATGTCAAGATAATGGAATTTTTCTTCTTGAAGTATGGTACGATGAAAAACCAGAAATCATTATTCCAGAAAGAATACAAAAAATTAAGGAGTTCGTTGATCAAGCATCCAAAAGTTTTGATATCCAATAATCAATAGTCTTATAATACATGTAACTCTATGTTTAATTAGCAGATAAATATATTGTGTATTACAGTTAAGGTCTGATTCTTAGACAGGCGAAATTCTGAGGCTAATTTGGGCGTCTCTTCTAAGCGATGTAAAAATGAATTTAAAAAAATATGTTCTTATCGATTATGTCCCATTAGCAAAAGCATAGAAACTTTATCATGTACAGCGGGTTAGTCTGTTTGCTTTAGCACTTGTATTTATTTTTTTTATCACTCGCATGCATTAATAAAGTACCGTGAAGATTCTTCTCATCTATCATCTGATATGTAAAAACTACGAAATCCCGAGACTGTGACGCGCGTCACGATCTCAAAGTTTAGCACTTTTTTATATGAAGTATGATTTTGTAATCTGGTGTGACAGATATCTGTATTAAATCAGTTGAGTCAGATCAATATGTGCGACATTCGATTTCTCATAAAAAATTTTCTTTCTCTGATTAAAGCAATTTGTAATACCAAAATGGATGCACTAACGACTCTTAGAACGGAAATTAATCGTATCGGTTTCAGTCTAAATGAACAAGACACTTTGCGCAAATACTTCACTGAAAACGTAGAAAAAATAAATGTCGTCGTGTCTTTTCTCCCTGACTACGCGACGGATTATGAGAAGCGGGGTTACCTGAAGTCCTTAATATCCACGCCTGGTATGTTACGTTCTTGCGCACACTGTGTCATATTTGCCAATAATACCGAATACTTACTTTTTCTTGTGCTTTTCTTTCCTGCTTCTTATCGTTAAACCCGCCCAAAAAACAAATTCGCGTTATCGTAGAGAAACCCGGTGGTGGTAAGTAAGTCGTAATAAGTTTTGTCAACGCATTTGAACGCGACCTGTCTTAACTCTTTTCTTTATTCTGATAGCCACCCATCGACCTACTTCCGTGGAGAACCTTACGCTTGATCTCGGGCAACTGGTATTTTTTTTCGTGAATTATTGTAATTTTGATATGTTATACTCACAGGAGATTGTTCTAGAATTTGTCAGGAGGCACTAGCGATACGAGCACAACATTTTCTAATTTATTTTCTGGTCTTGTAAGAACTATGGAAGAAAACTCGAAACAAATAGGTTTGCTGATTCAAATTGAGCAAGCGAGGAATCGCGGACCTGTTTTAGGAGAATTTGAGATAGGAGGTACTGATTGTCAAAATGCAAGGTGTTCCATTTTTCTTTTACTAATATCATATTCTACACACTCCAGGCTCTGTGACGTGTGCTAACGTTTACAAAAACACTATCTTTGAAAATGTTGATCAGGAATATTATCTTATTGAGACTAATTCCTACCTTAGTGAACTCCCCAATAACGTTGCTTCTCACCTGCGAAACAATCCAATTACGCAACAATCTCATCAAACAGAACCGGCAGTTCAAAGATGGTTCAACAATTTGTTGTCTCAATTTGGCTCAAGATGGGGTGATTTCGTCGCCAAAGATACACATGATGTAGGGTATCTCAACGGACTAATGCCAGACCTCAGCGTTTTTAAGACGGAAGATGTTGCAGATAATGCTTGTATTCCCATGCTAGTTAAAACGATTATGGAGCTAAAGGTACAAAAGAGAAGTACTGGCTTCTCTAATGAAGAAAAGGGACAGCTTTTGGACTACCTTCGTGTTCTCACTCGACAACAACCATTGCGCAAACTTTTTGCAATATTTTTGTCAGATGGAGCATACTTTTATATGATGTCCTATAATAGGAATATTAATCAGTATCAGGAGTTTGAAACCAACTTCAGGATAGGATTGCGACTTTTTTATACATTGATCCTTCGAGGATCAGATTATGTAAGAGCTTTCGGATTTAGGAGTGTAAACTTCCGGTCACAAATTTCTAGCACTCGTACAAAACTCATTGGAATACGTCTAGAGGAGTTTTTAGGCGAGGGATCATCCGCAAATGTATATAGGATCAGGTGGAATGATAGACCAGCCGTCATAAAAATAATTTCTGATCCAAATGCCTTAGAACGTGAGGTGGAAATGCTGAGATTTTTGAATGGTTCAAACATCCAGAACATTCCAGAATATGTCGCGCATG